ATAAATAAATAAATAAATAAATAAATAAATAAATAAATAAATAAACCTCTGTATAGCAGTGGTTCCCAATTTTGGGTAATCCAGATATTGGACTGCCATCCCCAGCAGTTGTCACCACCAGCTGTGGTGGCCGGGTTCTGGGGAGTTGCAGTCCAAGAACACCTTGGTTACCCAAGATTGGGAAACACTCCTGTAGAGCATAATGTGAAGTAATGGCAGTGAATCTCAAACAGAATTCAGAAATACCACTTTGTTGGACTAAAAATGTACCCATGCTTGTTGGAGGATTCTGGGAATTTTAAGTCTAAACTTGTAATTTCTCGAGGCTTGGGTACCAAAGTATTCAGCATCATGTGTGAGAGAACTGGGAATCAGTGTATGTGAATGTTCCCTTTGCATTTGCACAGACCACTGCCTGGAAGTCATAAGAATTAAACCCATGCTGTGCAGAACGTAAGATTAAATAGACTATGACGTTCGTGCGGTATTAAGATTTAATGTATTCCCTTTTAAATGTTAAGACCCTTATTATTGTCAAGACTTTTGGTTAAGCAATTAACGTTTGAAGAAGCAAACACTTTAACCATTAACTAGATATGCTAGTGCAGAGGGATGTGTAGTCTGCCCAAAGCTGTCAAAATCAAATTCCCATTAGCCCCAGCCAGCAGGGCCAATGGTGAGAGATGATGGGAGATGTCATTGAGCAACCGGTAGAGAGTTGTAACCTCCCTACAGAGGGAAGAGTATTGTCTGAAATCATCTGACAGTGACTTCTCTTGATGTAGGTACAGACATGAGGTTTGCCTGCCCAGTCCTAAAGGCAAAATGATTTAAGAGTTGGGCTCACATGCCGGAAAGGCCTAATTTTTTTTCAGTGGATGAAATCCCAATGATGAAATCTCTTTTTTTCCAGCTCCAATCTCCTCCTGTAAATATGCTCCATCGGGTCTACCCAGCCTTCTGGAGCAGGGGAGTTGCAGGGAAGAGTGGCAATCATCCTCTTCTCTGTTCTGATCCTTTCCACTGACAGGAGCCATCCTGCCACTCATCAGGAGAGGTTAAATGGATGCAGCCCTGTGTGATCTGCTTTGTATCCCAAACTGCACAGAGAAAAATTTGCATGACTTGGTCTGTAAGTGGATATGCCTTGCAGCCATTTCTAAGCACATAAAGCTGCAGAAAGTTCACCATGACTCTACATAGCCAACTTCACACAGTTATCTCCATCCAAACTCATCACAAGATAAAATTATGTGGACAACTTCAGGATGGAGTGGGAGAGAAAACTGCATGTGTGAAAAGGGCCAAAGAAAGGAGAAAAAATATGGAATGTTTTGATTACTCCATACAATGCACTGAAATCTTAGCCTGTTGTTCTTCCTAGAATATACAAGTCTTCCTTTATTTTCTTTAAAAGGCAGATAGATTTCATAAAATTGCTAGGTCTTATGATTATGAATTGCTCTACTTCCTCAGGTTTCAGGTGGGGAAACAAACCACAGGGAAAACAGTGCTGCAGGGAGAGAATTCCTTTTGTGTTTGGTATGGTATAAAAAACTGGGTGCCCATCTCCCAGCTGGCAGTAAGGTGAAACTTGCCCCCTGCTTGAGTACCCTAAAATGGGGTTTCCCCCCTTGTCTCTGGGTTGTTGCATCACCTGTTAGCTGGGTTTTATCCAGATTTTGGAGCAGTTTACCTGCATTTCCTTTGTACCTGTTCTTACAGTTGGGTGGGTAAGAAGTAATTCTGGCCTTACTCCCAAGCTCTTGCTTGCTCTGCTGCTGGAACATCAATGGGGACAATTCTACTCTCAGTTGTTTGCCCTGAAGTCTCAGGGCAAAGGATGCTGCTGGATGTCCAGTGAGATGGGGACAATTCTACTCGGGCAAAGGATGCTGCTGGATGTCCAGTGACATAATTAATTGTGAGATTTTGTAATGACCCTAAAAATACAGGAATCAGGATTGTCTCCAGAAGAAAACAAACATAATCTCCAAACAAATACAGAAGGAGTAAGACTATAAATACCAAGCTGCACACAGGATCCAGAAGGCAGTGATTACATTCCAAGCTGACAACCCTCTAAGATTTATGGTCTCGCTGCTAGAGGGAGTCTAATGTTCTCAGTTTATTCACAAATGGAAGCAAGGGAAACAGTACCTCCTGAAAGAAGCTATTACAGTACAGTTTGTGTGTATTGATGTTGCTTTCCTCCCATGTGGAATGAGCAACCTAAGTGAACATCTTAATCCCTTGCTGGTGCGTATATGGACTCTGCAAGGCATGAAGAAGACAGCGGAGCTTTCACAAATATGGCTATATCTGTTCTAACCACACAAAAACAGTGAGTCCATTGTGATGCTGCTGCTGTTGATGAGGAGGAGGAGGACGAGGAGGAAGAGGAGGAAGAGGAGGAAGAGGAGGAGGACAAAGAGGAGGACGAAGAGCAAGAGGTGGAAAAATCTGAGAATCCTCCAGATAGTGTGCCCAGTGGCCATGCTGGCTGGGGCAATTCTGGGGATTGTCCAAAAATTTATTTTTTTGTTAACTGTGTGATAAATTAATGAAATATAGTGTGTCTGTCCCGGTTTCCATTTTTGTCATAAGCTCTTTGGCTACACTGCCACTGTTATTAGAAGCTCCAGGACATTTTGTTATTTTGTTTCCTTATTTAACCAGGCATATTTTTAAAGCATTCTTTTTTTTTCCCTACTCTTTTCCCCAGCCAATCTAATTGGCTGCCACCTTGAACCATGGTAGGAATCTGCCAATTTTGTTCTGTCTTATTTTCTCATTTTCCCCATTTTGCTTTGTCCCATTTCTGCATTGGTTTACATTTTTAAGTAATGCATGAAAATCCTTGCACATTTACAGTATATGGTCATGTGTCTCAGTATACATATTTATATGTACATGTTTTCCTAATGCACACATTTTGGTAAGCAATTCCTCGATCCAATGCATTTAAACACTACATAAGCTGATATATTAGTTTTTCTCTTGGGAGTTGGACTCAATGGCCTTATAGGCACTTCCAACTCTATTATTCTATGATTCTACTATTTGGGCACATTTTCTCCATACAGACTGAGTTTTGTATACATTTTAACTGAAAAACTGCATTGTAAGATTCAGAAACATGCATCCACCTGTGTTTTCGCTCATGCATTGAAAGCAGGGAATGTGAATTAGATTTGCTCTCATAAAAACTGAAAGTAGGATGTAAGAATTAAGTTGGTTCTGATTCTAAACAAATTCATCTCCAGTTCCTACTGCACATTCAGGCTGTTTATATAAGCATTGTGGGAGATGGGATTTAAGTAAACCTGGCATATGAACGACCATATCCATTGTAGATAGTCAAATTAATCCTAACTTTTACTTTGTAGGATTTAAAAAAAACTTAATCCCCCAAAGCATAACCACCAATGCATCTACAATCTCTTTATTCCAATGTACAACCCAGACCAGCAAGGCTGTGATCGTGTTTTTTTCTTTCCTTCTTCTGAACAGGTTCCCTACAGGAATGAAAAGAAATACATAATCAGACTTTGGAATCCTTATGGTGACACAGAATGGAAAGGCGCTTGGAGCGATGGGTATAACATGAAATATTTTATCTCATAAAGAGGACGAATCTTTTGGGGCTGGGTGGCTTGAAAACATTGATTCAAGAGCCAATTTATAGGGAGTTCAGAACAACCCTTGACAGGAACAAATCAGACAATCAGTAACAAGCATTTCTTCCTTATATATTACTTTGTATCCAAAATTACATTGCTACATTGATCCTCACTCAGAATAGGTTAGAGGTTTCACTTCCTTTATCCTTTGTCCACAAACAATTACAATGATTAATAAGAATAAATAATAAAGAACAGGCTACGAACAGATCAGACTAGTAGCCTTGCTTGCTTGCTTGCTTGCTTGCTTGCCTGCCTGCCTTCCTTCCTTCCTTCCTTCCTTCCTTCCTTCCTTCCTTCCTTCCTTCCTTCCCTCCCTCCCTCCCTCCCTCCCTCCTTCCTTCCCCTTGCTTGCTTGCTTGCTTGTTTGCTTGCTTGCTTGCTTGCTTGCCTTCCTTCCTTCCTTCCTTCCTTCCTTCCTTCCTTCCTTCGTCTTACCATCAGTTTTTGGCCTACAGCTCAGATCCAGCTCACTTGGTCAGTGGATTGCCTAGGTGGATTCAAGTACAGCATCAGCAGCTGATAGTCTGAAAAGATTTCCTTTACCCCCAGATTTTGGGGAAAAGATGCTCATAGGACACTTATACTTGCATTTGTCCAAATTTTGTCATGCAGTTCTCTAATAAAAAATGCAGTGAAATATGCACACAATTTGAAAAGAATATACAGAAATACATTATAACCAATAAAATGCTTCTAAAATGTATACAGTATTTGTTGATATGTGCCTGTATACTGTAGACTTTCAGGGCTTATTTGGAGGCCCTCCTATGAAAATGGTCAGATGGCTGGTTACAAAAGACAAGGCCTTCTTAGTTACGGTGTCCTGTTTGTGTAATTTCCTATCTAAGGAACCCTGTTTCCTCTTCTTCTTCTTCCTCCTCCTCCTCTTCCTCCTCCTCCTGCCCTTGGACATGTAAGGAACCCTGTTTCCTCTTCTTCCTCCTCCTCTTCCTCCTCTTCCTCCTCCTCCTGCCCTTGGACATAGGATGTCATCATGGCTATGACATGGCATTAGATGTACCAGTTCTTAACAATGATGTTCTGCTACATACAGTGAGCCATTAAATTCTCCTCTCTGCACTTCTTTGCCCACTTAATTGAAAAATATGCATTTTTCATTTCACATTGCATGACTGAAGTATTCTTTGTTCCTGTTATGTGCCATCAAGTCACTTCCAACTTTTGTCAACCCTAATTGGGTTTTCAAGGATCAGTTATTTCATTTTTTTGCTGCTTTTGTTACTTTTTGATAGTTTGTTTAATTTGACACAAACTACAACAGTGATAGGTTGAATTTATGTCTACTCTGGGATTGGTTTTGACAAATCTGGCACTGTTCTAGTAGCTCTGTTTAATATATATATGGAGCCCGGTTTGTAATAGTAGCACTTACATAGTTTGTTACTATACAGTATCTACAATTCCATAATAGTGCTATATATCATTATTGCCAAACAAGACTGATTATGCCCAGAGTCTATCTGTATCTGGCTGGATCCTATTGGACTTCCCTTACTTTAAGGATCTGAATAATCATCTTTTTAATTTCTTTCACTATACTGTGGATTTTTCCTGCCTGATATATCCTTTGAAATGGAGCAAACAATAACGGAAACAATTTACTTTTAAAAATATCTTTCCTAGATCAGGCTAAGTGTTACTGATGCCTAAATAAGGATGGAAGAGAGGTTTAACAAAATTAAAAGGAGTTGATATAGTAGTAAGAAAATCAATGTTTTTAATACTGTATGTGGATTTGTCCTGTTTTACAGCTCAGTGGAGTGGGATTACGTCCCAAAATCATACAAGGAAAAACTCTATGAGAATAGGCTGGACGGTGAATTCTGGTATGGTCACTATTATACAATTTGGAATTATATAAAAATAGTCCTCCAGAATGCTTGGCTTAAATAAATTAAATAATTCTTTCTCCACTTTATGGCATTAATATGTTCATCTGTGTTTGAATGTGCTAGTTATCCACCAATGATCTTTCCAAAAAAATTTTAAGTCATCCCCTCCTTAAGATTTATTTCTGTTGCCCCAAAGAACTATGAACAACTCTTAATGAGCACTGACTGACCATCATGATGCCAAAACATTTACTATTCCATTCCATTCCATAGTCCCCTCCTTCCTATGTTTGTGTAACTGTTTCTGTACTCGGGCAAAATGGTGGATCTCTAGTGGACTAGAGTTCACAAAAGCTTATGCCAATCAGAACTTCACATGCCAAAAGAACCCTGTGGGGTTGGGTTTGTTTTGTTTTGTTTTTTGTGGCATCAGATTAACATGGGTTCCCCACTATAAAATTCTCCCCCCCCCTCCGGAAGGCATTCAAGCCCCAGGTATAGAAACAGGGCATGGAAGAATTTTATACAGCTCCATTTTGGAAGAGACTCTAATAACATTTGCAAATTTCTCATTGAAACTGATAATGCAAGTTTAAAAAGTCAAATGTGGAAGACAGCAAAACTGACTGCTTTGTCCATTCTTACATAGAAACTATGCACAGATACTCATTTATTGTTTCTAAGTGATTCCCCCCCCCTTTTTTTGCAAAATCAGAGGCAAAAGTACAGTATGTTACTTCACTATTGCAAAGTAGTGAGGGATAATTTCACTCCTTTTACAAGTAACCAAAACTTTGTAGTTACTTTTATATTTGTGTGTGAGAGGGGTTGCCTCACTAAATGGTTACCTCAAAGCTGGCTCGTGTCTTTGTATTCTCACTCTTGTGATTGAAGAAGTGGGCTTGTTATCATTTAAGATGGCACAGTGCCTTTTTAAATGTTTGCTTTATTTTGTTTTTCTTGTTGATCTATTTTTAAAAGTAAAATGTCAAGTTCTGGGTTGCAGTCCTGTGAAAACTTCACTATGAAAATGATTGCAAGCCTGTGCTTTATTGGCCATGAGCAGCTACCAGTAGTCTTTTCAACACATTTTGATAGAATCTTAAGCCTTAATCAACACTCACAAAATGGGTTAAAATCATGTTACTCTCAAGCCCTCCGTCCTCACATGGAGGATGACAGTCTGATGTTGAAGACCCTAAAAAAGTCAGAACTCCAAGTCAGATGGGGAAACTGAAAAATCAGGATTTGCAATCGTACGGGGAAACAGTAGTTCTTAGACTTTGTTCCCTCAGATGTTTTTGACCACAGTTCCTTTCCAGAAGCACTGGCCAATATTTCCCAGTCATTTAGATAATCAAAAACTGAGATCCAATGGAAAAGAAGATAATGTCCTTTTCAGTCTGGTGCTCTCTATACAAGAAAAGTGTGTGTTCATCATAATCATTTTTGTAAGCACCCAAATAGGGCTGTATACATTTTAATCTTAGTTATAAAAATGCTTATAGTCTTCATGGCTACAGACCTAGGCCTGAAAATGTGATGAGAAACTTGGCAGGCAGACGTAAGGACTGCAAAATTATTTCTCTTATAAATTGATTTTAGTTTCCCTCATATTTAAAATTGACTCTAGCGGTTACTACTGACAGCTGTCTCTGACATTCGAATGAAGCCTGTTATCTTTTATTAGGATATCATATGAAGACTTCAAAGACAATTTTTCAACAGTATTTGTTTGTAATGATGTACCAACATTCCTGGATTTTGGAGAATCGTTTAGCACCACTTGGTCTGTGGATAGGCACTTCAACCGTTGGGCTCAGGAACTCTCTCTAGGAGGTAAAAAGTCCAAACTTATTTCAGCCATTTCTCTGATAATTTTCAGTCACAATATATCAAAATAATAAGATCTTATCAAAAGCCAGAAATTTAAAATTTAAAGCTTTTTAATGTGTAATATATCCTTATCGTATTGTCAGTGTGTAGCACAATAGTACGTGTTCATACAAAGAAAGAAAAAAACACACAAATGTTTGTTTTAAAACTCTGTAGATTTAAGTTAGATGTCTGGTTATGGTACAACCATGTGATTTTAAGTCCTGCTAGAAGTCTCTGCAGAAAAATTGATTTGGCAATCAGCCCAATCTGATTGAGTTCTTGATATCTACTTGTGAAATTAATGTCCTGGCATTCCCAAGATTCTTCTAAGAGTTTTAAAGCCACAATTTGACATTTTTTTCTTTCATGTGAGTTTTCTAAATTATTTCAGAGAAGTAGAGCTTAAGTGGAAAAAAAATTCAATTGTCACAATGCAGCTGTAGGCTGAGCAGTGGAATCTACGGTACAATTTCAGACCTCGTTTAATATTGTTAGATCTCTGTCCTGAAAGGGGTGGCTTGTAAATTAGATGAGCACACAGAGGCATACGTAAGTCCCCTGAAATCAATAAATAGTGCACAATATAATATATGGTATTATTTATGTCTTTTTCAGTCATCTCTGTATTTACTTAACTGGAGGTCTGAGATCTTAGGCTTCGTTCTGTAAGGTGTGTCGATTGCTTAGGAATTATCGAGAATATGGAATATTCATGTATGAGATATAGGAGATCGTTTCTAGTGGAAATAGCGTGGAAAAAAACTGTCAGGTCTCCAGATTTTTGCAAGCTATTTAGTAGAAATGATCCCCCATATCTCTTCCATTCAGGGTATTCAGGGCCAGTGTGGTATAGTGGCAGACTAGGACACAGGAGACCTGAGTTCAAATTCCCAATCAGTCATGAAAACTCACTGGGAAATGGTAAAATCAGTCTTGAAGCATCTTACATAGCTTGAAGATCCTATGAAGCTTGCTATAGATTGGGTGTAACTTGACAGCACATTAAATATAAATTGGTATATCTTTTAAAGAAATATTTGGAGAGACAATATTTGGAAAGACAATATGAATTGTCTTGAGTTTCCAAGCATCCTTGATTTTTAAGTTGCAATATTGGTATATATATGCTTGGAGTATATATTTGATACTAACTAAAGAGGTCACAAGAATGATGATTTCCTGATTCATAGGCCAGAAAAAAAGATGTTGGCCAAAATCCTATAAGTGATCACATAAGCTTTGTGTTATTTGCTGTGGCTAAATGCAGCTAATCAGATGTTGGAAATCATCTAGGCCATGTGCTTAGTCATGCATCGGATTATACAACCATTAAGCACACCAGCACCTCATTGCAATTAGCAGTGACAGCTTACAGAGTCCTTCTACAAATAGGATTCTGACCATTAAAAATACCCCATAACTGGAAGAGGAATATTCTTAATTAGCACACATGTCTGACTGTTACAGCACAAGCTTCTCTCACCTGCTTGGTGACTGGCCTCCAGGAATTAAGCATGGGCTATCTCTAATGTCTGTTTCTGGTCATAGTTCAGTCTTCTATAAATAACTGTGCAAAGTAAATAATTAGGTATGTACCATATGTATATAGAACCCCATGTATATCTGCCTAGGAAAGAAAGTGCCACTGAATTATTTGGGACTTGCTTTGAGGAGAAGGATTATAGCTTAAATGGTAGCACACATGTTTTGTACATAGAAACCCACACTTGGCCTAGATCTTGGCCTTCTAGAGAGCTACTAGCAGCAGTCCTTGTATACTGAGCAAATTTATCAATAGACCGACTCAGTATTAAGTACTGTAGTAACCCCAGACCTACTGGAGTATCACAAATTTATCAATAGACTGACTCAGTATTAAGTACCTTCCCTGATATGCTTTGAATGGCTGGAACAGAGAGGTGCATGACTAGAAGAAGGGAATTCTTAACTAATGGGTGCATCTGAATTTCACAGCACAAACTTGTCTTATCTTTGGGATTATGCAGATTCACTTGCTTTGTCTGGTGATTAGTTTCAGGACTGAAACCTAGATTCCTTTGAAATTTAATTTGACAAACACAGAAAGACTGCTTCAGTGTGCTGTCAGACATAAATACAGACTATCTTTAGTGCCTGTTTCTATCCTAAGCATATATAAGATTGCAGATTTACAGTGCAATCCATGCTCAAAATTGGCTGTGGTAGTTTGGAATGGGTATAAGTGTCTTGTGGCAGGTTCCCTTGTGCAGGAACAAGTGACCTGTACTGCCAGATCTGAGACCCACCCAACTGGATAGGCCAGCATAAGCAGCAGAAAAGGAGAGTGATGAGGAGATGAGCAATGCAGAACCAAACCCCTCTCAGCTCAAACTCATAGCCACTATGCCAGGCACAAGGTAGTCCTAAGGAATTTCCAACGTTCCTAGGCTGTGCTGCGCTTCAGCACTAGTTCAGTCCTCAGGTCCTCTTGGCTAGTTATGATTGTGCCCCTCGTTTCAACATTGCTACAGCCTCTTGCTTAACAGGAATCTCTTTGTGTATTCCAAATATGTGTCCTTCATACTGATTAATATGGCTTTACTCCTCATTTAGAGAGGATTAAGAGGTAAATCCTGGTTTGTTTCCTCATTTCAGAGGAAGATGAGGAATCACCATATTGTTTTTCTCAGCTGAGAGATTTCCTGCTGCTTTCAGATTACCTCACAATTCTTTGTGTATGAAAAAAATGCAATACAGTTGGGGCTCTCCCTTAGTTTGAGGGAAATTTGGAAAATAAAAAGCCTTGACCTGGGCTGTTTGCACCTTTCTTACAATTATCCAGTCTTTCTGTGCTTGCTGATTGTGCATGCTTTGCTTTTCAAAGGGGAAGGGCTCTACACAAATTACAGAGAGCTGAAAGTAAAAAAAAAGCCAGCTAGTGTAGTGTAGTGGATAGAGAGATGGACTAGAACAATGGTCCCCAACCTTGGGCCTCCAGATGTTCTTGGACATCAACTCCCTCAAATCCTGGCCAGCAGATTGGTGGTGAAGGTTTCTGGGAGTTGTAGTCCAAGAACATCTGGAGGCCCAAGGTTGGGGACCACTTGACTAGAATCCAAGAGACCCAGATTCAGACCCTTCTGTGCTGGGGAAACCATTCCTTAGATATATCACATACCTTGAAAACCCTACTAGGGTGATCATAAGTTGGATGCAACTTGACAACATGTAACACAGACACTTGAAGTAAGAAAATGAAAGCCACTTAGCTTACTCTCAGGAAGAGGCAAGGGATGTGGCCTGGTCGTGGAAGTGTCAAGTTTATTTGATAAGATGAAGTAGCCATGTGATCTGTTCCTAGAAAACGGTTCTTGGTAATATTTTCACTGGATCACTAAATATCCCAGTGTTTCTTAAAAGGCAACCATGAATTAGATGTCTGACCCCCTGGCTAGAGGCGTACTAGAGATACTGACATGCTGATAGATGTTTACATGATCCACTTCTTAAAGTGGTCCTGCAGTACAGTAAAGTATATAACTGTGTGTGTGTGTAACTCTGAACAGCTGTAAAACAAAAAGCTATGGACAGAAGTCTTGACAAATTCAGACTCCATTGTACAGGTTTAAAATGATAAATGATAATTTTTACAACAGGTGACCTTTCCAGAAACCCCCAGTATTACATCCAGGTACAAGAACCAGAGATGTGGAATGACAATGTTGTGGTGGCACTGTCACAAAACAGTGCAAATTATGGAGGCATTGGTTTTTGGATCGTCAAGGTAAGTAACAGCAATGAATAGGATATTTCAATTTTAAAAAATTGAATCTACTTTCTTCTCTCCAAGTAGACTGCTACAAAGTCTTCTTTCTCTCTTTCCCTCCCTTCCCTGCCATCATTAGATGGTCCCTTCATATGTAGATTTCCAAGAAAATTAACAATAGTGTACTCTCCTCATTCTACAACTGAGCATTACCTCAGCACTTGCTAAGCCCATAATAATAAAGGATGCACACATTCATTTTCCAGATTAAATATTATCTTATGTCAGGGATAAACTAAGTGCAGATTTGGAAGACGTAGCTGTTTTACTCTGTGCTAGCGTCTCAGGCAAAAATGAAACAAAACTAAAAAGATAAAGACAGAAATGTATGGTACTTCAGAGACTAACTGCTATATTTTAATGTCAGCTTTTGTGGAAAGTCCACTTCTTCTATGTCTGAAGAAGTAGACTTGTCCATGAAAGTTCACATTAAAATATAGCTGTTAACCTTTAAGGTGCCACAGCATTTTTGTCTTCTTTCATTTTTTAACATTTATTTCATTTTTGCCTAAGTGCAAATTGTAGGCCATATGAAGGCCTACAGGGGCTCCACTCCTCCCCCATCAACATTCTTACAATTCCCATCTTTTTTATCTTAAAAAAAAAACCAAACCCTTCTCCTGGTGCCTTCCGATCTGTTTTGGGACAGAGTTGTGTCCAAACCATAAATATACACTTTTGGTTTTGAAACAGATCCAACCTAAAACAAGTCAAGGTGGAAAGTTGGCCAAACCTCTGTATTTCAGAGAGCACAAGATGCCTTTTAAAATTGGGGGGGGGAGGAGAGGTATGAGTGGCCCCCAAATCCCTGGAAGTACTGACACGTAGCAAAGAAATTAGGAGGGCAAGAGCTGAGAATGAGCTGAGGTTAGCTAGAGATACTAAAAGCAATAAAAAGCACTCTTCAAGTATGTGAGCAGCAAAAGACATAGTGGCACAGCTCTGCAATGGAAATGGAAGAATGATAACAGAGGACAAAGAAAAGGCAGAGGTGCTCAATTACTATTTTAGTTCAGTCTTTTCCCATAAGACAGACTATGAACTTCCAAACAAATTGGAGGTGTAAGTGTGGGGGGGACAGGATACAGCTGGAGACTCATAAACAAATAGTCAAGGAATACCTTACCGCCTTGGCATTTTAATCTATATTTACCATTTGATCATGGCCATCTATTCATTTGAACTTCATTCTTACTTACTGGGCCTATGTTTGAAACATCTATGCGACTGCTTCATCTTTTGACTTTATTCACTGAACAAACACATATTTCCCCACATTTGGGACACAGATCCTTATGAAAGTTGGACACACTTCTAAACACAGAAGGAGTGTTGTCACTTCCATCAGGGAGATTTTTGGAAAACCAAGTGCAGTCTTGGCTGATGGCAGTAAAAATAGCAAGCACAGGAACTCAAGGCTTGCATATGGCACTTTAATATGAGTATTTCTGTTACTTATTCCCCCTGTTTTAAAGATGGATGTTATTTCTGAAATGTCTGTTGTTTTCTAGTCAATAGTCATCATTAGTAGGAAACTTCTGACTCATATGGTCACCAGTGCAGTCCAACTTGATTTGGAAAAATAGCCTTGGGGGATGCCATATGGCTTCCTTCTGAATAAAAGTGTAGTATTGTACATTTGCAATTAATTTAAGACATAGAATCAATTCAAACATAGTAAGATGACTGGAAACTTAAAACATCAAGCTACACATATCCATAATAATGGGTATAAACACACATTTAAAGGTACAGTTTCCAGTTACTCTTTAGTAATCAATTTCATTCCTGTGGTTTGACTCCCTTTGGGTGTTATGCCTTTCTGGAATGATCTTCCAATATAATTATAGAGAGAGAGAATGCTAGAGATGAACAAAAATAGATATTCAGTATATCCAGACAAGACCCACAGTTGATAGACTGCGATGAGCACAGACTATGCCTGGATATTATATGCAGATGGAGAAGAATGTGGCTTGCCCCTCCACGCCAGATACTGATTAAGGCATATTGTTTATGCAAGCCCTAGCCGTCATATAACCAGTGTTGAAGGATTATGGGTGTTGTGGCACAATGGCACTGAGAGGGCCTCATGTTCCCCAACATAGTTATACAAATTGTAGGATCAGATGCTTTGAATGAGCCCCTCTAGCAAGTCCAATCTCATTCCTCACCAAAAGATAGCTAAGGATGCTATGGAGAATTTTTTTCGGTCAACGATTTAAAACAATCTGGCCTAATAAATACTCCTAGAAAATATGCCGTTTGTTCTCCTTTTCGGGGTTATTTTCCCAACATTTTTCAGTGAAGTACTAGGCTCAAAAATCACATAATGAAATGATGTCAGAGAAGAAACCGAACAAAAATTTTGTGGCACCTTAAAGACTCCCTGCTGTAATTAAATTTGAGCTTTTGTTGGTCTAGCCCACTTCCTCAGGCTCAAAATGCCACATCTTTTTTTGTTTTTCATTTATTTCTTACCTGTATGCTTTCACAGACTAACACAGCTACCACTTTGAAAACTACAATATTGAAACTAGGGATTTTAGAGGGAATTGTGAAGAAAGAGATGAGTTTTAAGGAAAGATATGTATAAAAACATGCATGTCAGGGAAAATGAAAAGGCAACCATATTTGTTTCCAGTTCACGGAATGATGTAGTAATTATATGGAATGGATGTACTACCAGAAGCTAGAAATGTTACTATCTAGACTAAAACTCCAAGGGCAGAATCCTGTAAAGGAAAGATGGAGTGCGACAGCCCACAGGCATTACTTGTTCTGCAGTCTCCAGCTAGCAATTACACAACCTGGAGATACCCTTCTTGAAATCACTGGGCTTTCACATGTGTAGCAAATACCTCCTGAAAATGCTGAAAAGTAGCAATATATGCATTACATATGTGGTAAAAGAGGATTCTGTCCCCAGGAGCCCACTGACACCATGGTCATTGGTCATAATGGGTGGGGGGACTGGGGAATTCTGGGGATTGCATTCCAAAAAAATAATATTTCAAAATTCTGAAGATCAATGTATCCCAACCTTGGGTTCCCAGATGTTCTTGGGCTACAACTCCCAGAAATCCTGGCCAGCACAGCTAGTGGTGAAGGCTTTTGGAAGTGGGTAATGCTGTAGATTAGGGGGTGCATATGGGGCTGAGAAGACTTGGTATGGACTGTTTCGTTCACCTTTGGTTTTCCTCATGCTCTGAATTTTATTTGGTATGTTTAAAATTTTACAAGATTTTTCAAAGATTCGACATTTCTCTTTTCGCTTCTTCCCATCTTTCTGAAATTAACCCCTTGTGTTGTCCGACATGCAGCTTTCAAAATCTGAGGGAAATTTGGAAGCAGGTTTTAATGCAACAAAAGGAGCTTGAGGAGAAAAGTCAGGGCTCTAGAACCCTGTGAAAAGTCACTGCATGCAGCTAAGAGACGCTTAATTGCTCAGCATATAAGTAGATATTTTACTGTGAAGAAAGGTTCAGTTCTACTTATGCAGTGTTGTGGTTTTTTATATGAAATTCTGCTTTGCTAGTCTAGTCATGGAGATGACATGATGAGGAAGGTAAAGAACTTGTACAGAGTAAACAGAAAATTTTATCTGACACAAGAGAGTTATAATTAGCACTAAAATAATTAATTGACAAATCAATATGGTTAATATATTCATTAAGCACAGATTAAAATGTGTATTTTTAATTAGATCTGGACTTCCCCCTGAAAAGATGTTTAGTGCTAATGACTTCCTTGTAAATGTTCGTGGGGTCTCAGGGACATTTTACAGTGTATTAAAAAGAAAAACCTCCCCTTAAGCGCATTAGAGTTTACACTTCCCAATGGGGCAAGTACTATCTTCAAAGCAATATCCATTTCTGAGAACCCGTAAAACTTATGAGATGGCTTGCCTCCAATATCACACTACTGCAATCTATGTGAAACAGAAAGCTCAGTTCTTACCATTGAGGGGTCAGACTATAAGGGGAGCGTGGATTTCCTACAGTTAACTTCTTCTCAATCCCAAAATGGGATTTTTTTCTGTAAAATGTGCATTAGCAATTGGAACTGCAAATTAAATTCATGTTGAGCTTCCGGTGACCAATCACAAAGCAAAGTACAGGAAAACCATATGCAGTGATAAAGAGGTTATCTTTTACTGCTTGAAGACGCAGCTCTTCTAAAAACACACTAAGTATACCCCTTGCTAGATACACCTTATTTTAATAGAGAATGGGCTCCTTTTCCTGCTTCTGTGGTATTGGTACTTATAAATGTAGGTGGCATAGTAGCAACAGAAAAAGCCCCTGTTTGGTTGACTGAGAGGCAGGTGAGAAAACAGCCCCCCAGTGCTGGGAATGTGCCCTCTATTCCTTCTTTCCTCCATGGTCTGATCAAGACTAGTGTCTACTCATGAAATTCTCCAAACATATACAGGCTAAAGTTGGACTTGCTAATTCAATTCTTATTCTTACCACTAGTGAGATGAATCTCATGAAGAAGTGCATGCAAGAGCTGCAAAAAGATTGGATTAAATAAACCAATGATAGCATGGATTCCTTGGTTACTCTTCACTCTTCCATGCCATCTTATTCTAGCCTGATTATTTTTCTATTGCATTTTACACTGATGGTGCAATATAGAGATGGGCACGAATCAGAAAAATTGTGATTCCTTTTAATTCCTGATTCATCAGGATTGACAAATCACAAAGTACAAATCTACATTTTTATGATGAATCGATGAATCAGTTTGTCAATTCATTTTTTAAAATTTAAAACCCTATAGAACACCTTCCTAAGCACCTAGAGACACCAGGGAAGCTTTATCTGACTCTCCCCTAAAAAACCCTACAAGTTTGGTGAAGTTTGGGTTACAGACATCCATGTTATATACCCACAAAGTGGGTTCCCCCCAAGAGAGTGCCCTTTAGCAGCTGGCTTGGGGAAACCCCATCTTCACCAAACTTGGTGGGATTTTAGAGGAGAGTGAGTAGAAGCTTTGCTGTGATTTTGGTGTCTCTACGTATCTTGGGGGGGGGGAGGTCAACAAATCAACAACTTAAAAATTTGTTATTCATGATTCATTGGGGCATTGATTCATATGAATGCAAATTGATGAATCAACAATTTTTGAATTAATTCAGTGATTCATTTTTAAATTCATGCCCATCTCTGGTGCAATATAAATGAAACAAGTAAAAAAAAACAACCTCAGAAATCATACCATCCCTTAGATGCATCATATCACTTCTGCCATGGTCGCAGAATAATCTCATAGTCACGGTAGTTTGTGGCTTTAGTTTCCCATAGGAAATCATCTTAACCTTGTGCTTCATCCCTGGAAATCATGACATTGGTTTCCTAACACTTAAAAGTCCACATGTATCAAAGCCATCATTCCCATGCCACTTTTATTTAATAGCACTCATTGGGTGATTGTGGCAGGTTTCTCTGGAAAGGGACATATTGAATCAGAAGTTCAAATCTGAAATGTACAGATTTAAATGTGTTAATTATCCAGTTTGAAATAAGACTGCTAATCAGTTGAATGACTCTCTAGTGTTTGGCATGGATCCTCTTCATATTGTAGGTCTATTTTTATGCTTAATGGAATTCTTCTCTTTCTATTTCCTTTTCTCTCTTTCAGGTTGAACCAGAGGTATGTTTTTCTTCCCTTTGAATTGTCAACAATATTCTAATACAAGCTACAGTAAACAGTTTTTAACCCATTAGTTTCCATTGATATCATTACCATATCAGTTGTATCATATGTTATTATTCTGTTGTTGTTGTGTAGTTGTTAAGTCATGTCTGACTTTTTGTGACCCCATGGACCAGAGCATGCCAGGCCCTCCTGTCTTCCACTGCCTCCTGGACTTGGGTCAAATTCATGTTGGTACCTTCGATGACACTATCCAACCATCTCGTCCTCTGTTGTCCCCTTCTCCTCTTGCCTTCACACTTTCCCAACATCAGGGTCTTTTCCAGGGAGCCTTCGCTTCTCATGAGATGGCCAACGTATTGGAGCCTCAGCTTCAGGATCTGTCCTTCCAGTGAGCACTCAGGGTTGATTTCCTTTAGAATTTATAGGTTTGTTCTCCTTGCAGTCCAGGGGACTCTCAAGAGTCTCCTCCAACACCACAATTCAAAAGCATCGATTCTTCAGCGGTCAGCTCTCTTTATAGTCCAGCTCTCACTTCCATACATCGCTACTGGAAAAACCATAGCTTTGACTATGTGGACATTTGTCAGCAAGCTGATGTTTCTGCTTTTTAAGATGCTGTCTAGGTTTGTCATCGCTTTCCTCCCAAGAAGCAGACGACTTATTCTGTACTTATTATATTATAGTCTGCCTTACCAATGGAGTGCTATGCCATTAGTGGCACTGAAAGTTGCTAAATGGTCAAGAGAAATCAGCAAGACTCCACTTTACCAAAACTTTTTCTCCATGCAGGGTGACCAATGCCATTTCTGTTCCAAAACAAAGCCTAAAACCTGATCTAGAGCATCAGTTTCATTCAAGACTGGCTGCAGTTGTTTGCCTGCCACTCTCTCAGTCCTTTTTTCTACAAAGAGAATGGTAGCTTATAGTATCACTATCAGTGTAGTCTGACTCTGAGCTGACATTTTTTTTTCAGTGTTCTCTCAGATAAGCTAGAATGACTTCTTTACTTCTTTACAAATACTAAAAACAACATGGAAAGAAAAAAAACCCGAACAAGTGGTTGGCTGGATGTGACCAAAAAACTTGTCTATATCTTAAGCGCATTTCATAGTAATTAGGGGTGTGCTATTCTTTTTTTTTTCCCCTTTGGCCTCCAACTCCCAGAATTCTTCAAGAATTGCCCAGACAGAAATCTGGGAGTTCCTGACCTCGGAAACATGCCTATATTTCACTCACCTGGCACAGGGCCTATCTTCCAGGCTGTCTCAGGCCAGCATCCTATACAAAAAGGAAACTGCCCTGATGTGGCAGGGCTGAAGAGCCTAGGTCTTTGTGGGAGGTGCCCTTTAAGCGCTATAGAGAAAACCCCCAAAGTACTACACCTCCCACAATGATTTAGGCCTCCCAAGAAGTTCTGGAGTAGCTTTCTTTTTGTACCGGATGTACATTATTCCCTCTACTCATCCGTGGTAGTTGATAATCCCCATCCCCCAGAGTCTCACAATTCAATTCTGGGTCTGAGAGAGGAGAAAGAAAAAACAAAAGAGATGCTTTTTCTGTCACCATTGTCTGCTCCAATCCATGTGAATTGGCTAGGGAGGAGAAGGGAATGGCTCCTCAGACCCACTGCTTGCTGGGAATCACTCTAATGCATCATGGGAAGGGGGAGACTCTCACTGAACTATTCTCCTATGAGGTAGAAAGACATCTCTTTACCTTCTTCCTTCTTCTCTCCCAAAACTGCACATAGTTTTGGTTAATGGGCTGAAGGGGATAGAGGAACAAAGGTGTCATTTTATGCACATATAACTACCAGCTGCTCAACACAGTGGTCTTATAAAATAAAACTTCTATTTATGACAACAGTCATACAAATTCAGTCATGTTACAAAGACACTGGGTGATTGGTGAAAAATATTCCTTGTGTTACAAAGGCAACCTGAATGTCTAGAACAAAAGAAAAGCTCATACATAAAAGATGCTCTTAGCTCCAAAGGAGTTGTTGCCATTTAGATTTGTCGAAGTTTTAATCCATTATGTTTTGTTCAAGTACCTCCCATACTCCCTTAAAAAGGGAGGGGGGCTTTCTTTTTGCAAGATAGTAGTTTACATTCTCTCTCTTTTTTTCCTTCCCAAAGGCATGGCTCATAAATTATTGTGCCACAGTGTGTAACCATTCTAAATGGGATTTATACACTCCAGTGTATTTGTAAGAATATGTTTAGTCAGGGCTTTTATTATGCTGTCTTTATATGTCATCACAGTAATAGCTGTTGCATTTTATTTATTGTTACATCTTGATGAAAATATTGGAATAGCAACAAAAATGACAGGCTCTGTTATTTTCTTATGAGAATGGATATAAAGTTCACTGTATTTCTGAGGGAACCGAAGGTGGAAACTCCCCATGAAAATTCCCAACTGTCCTGTTGACTATCTCAGGTCTTACACCTATTGTTTATAGCTTAATCCTACACACATCTACTTTGAAGGAAGTTCTGTTATGTTTAATGTCTCTTCCTTCAAAGCAAACAGACAAAGGATTGGATGATTCCAGTATGTCTCTGTGGGATCTTAACTCTAAACACTGACTCTCTTATTTAGTTTGGAATGAAGGTTGGGTCAGTCAGGAGACCAACCTCTCTAAAGTCTGCCAGCTCTTTTTTTTTGTTCACTCCAACCTATGGAACATAGGTATAAATCACACAAGGATTGTGTTCAGTGTTAATTACTTGTGAATACCAGATCATTTTGATATTTCCTATACTGTGTCTAAGGGCAGAACTGTGCTAAACCGGACAGGCCTTATGAGAACACGAGATGTCTCCAAACAGTTTAAGTTGATTCCTGGGACCTATATCATTATTCCAACCATGTCACCTGAAGACCCTGAGTCTGAGTTCCTTCTGCGGATATTTCTCAAGAAACAGAATCAGAACACTCTCAGGTAAAACTTTGACGAATAGAACTTGAATTGGAGAAGGTAGAGAAATGGCACCCAAACAAATCATCCGAAAGTTTCTCGTTTTCCCAATATTTAACATTATCTAGAACTAGCATGAATATATTCATCTCTCTCAGTGGCCAAAATCCTGTTGCTTAGCATTGTAAATCACATTAGAGTTGGCCCATTGAGATCTGTTGAGTAAACTCCTTCATTGGTTCCATTGACTCAAATGGCTGTACAGTGGTGCCCTACTGGACGATTACCCCACTTGATGATGAATCCGCTTAACATTAAAGTTTTGCAAAACGATATTTAGATGGGGAAATTTTGCTTAACGTAGATCGGTTCCCTGCTTCGGGAACCGATTTTCTGCTTTACGACGATCAGCAAACAGCTGATTGTCGGGTTTCAAAATGGCCACCGGCTGTAGAAAATGACTCCCCAGTGTGCTAGGGACAGATTCCTCGCATTACAGGCATCAGAAAATGGCCGCCGTATGGAGGATCTTCGCTGGATGAGCAGGTATTTCACCCATTGGAACGCATTGAATAGTTTTCAATGCGTTTCAATGGTTTTTTTATTTCACTTGACGATGTTTTCCCTGTACAGCGATTTCGCTGGAATGAATTAATGTCATCAAGCGAGGCATGACTGTACACTACATGTTCCTTACTACACTAAACTAAGGTGAAACTGGAGTAGGCCCATTTGAATAAATGGAATTTACAAATGAGTTGACTCAACAAAGACCCACTGATTCATTGAGTTTGCTCTAGTGTGATTTATTGTGCTTAGCAACAGGATTTTGACCAATAATTTTGCTTGAATTTCTGTCACTATAAAATGTAGAGTTTTTATACTGAGTTTTCTTTGGCTACTTTTTGAAGATTTGCACATCTTCAGATCAGGAGTGGTGAGAGTTTGTTAAACTCTTTCCTTTGCAGCCACATGTGAGTTCAAGTACTGTACATCTTCCCATAAGTTTTTCTTCCCAAGTGATACAGATACAAGATTCAGACACTGATTTATTGATATTCAACAATGCTATACAGTGGTGCCTCACTTAGTGATGTTTATTCATTCTAAAACAATTGCTGCTGAGCAATTTCATCGCTAAGCGAAATGCAGTTTCCCATTGAAATGCATTGAAAACCGATTAATCCGTTCCAATAGGAACAAATTGCCATCCTTAAGCAAAAATCACCATAGATAACATCACTGAGCAAAACGCGGTTCCCCAATTGAAATGCATTGAAACCTATTCAATGCATCTCAATGGGGGAATAATACAACAAATTAAAAAAGAGTCAGAACAAAGTCAAATTTGGTTAACGAAGGGTTTATTAAGTGCACTTTATGATTTCAAACATTTTAAACAGTAAACTTTAACTTTATAAAGAAAGAAAAATATTTTAAAAACCTCAAACATGAGGCTGTTTAAACCATCGTTAAGTGAAACAGGCGACCAAAAATTTAATCGCTATGCGAAGCATGGTCCCAACCATCACTAAGCAAAAATCGCCCATAGGGACCATTGCTAAACGAAGCGCAAAAATGCTCCAAAAAATTCATCGCTAAGCGATTTTGTCACTAAATGGAGCACCCGTTAAGCGAGGCACCACTGTATAAATACTTCCAAGACAAAAAAGTCTGTAAGGAACTCCACCACACAGAGAACTGCTAACTTTTCTAAGCAGAGGCTCACTTCACCTACTACTTATTGTTTATAATAACAGACCTGCCATCACTATAAAATGTAGATTGCTTTGTTTCTTAATTACCCTTCTGTTACATACTCTAAATTTAATCTGTGAGAACATTGCTAAAATCCTATTGTACAGATATACCTGCATAATGGGAATGACATTATCATCAGTGCCAGACTGCTGCTGATTAAGGACTTCATTTCTTGATTTCAGTGCATGGGCAGTTTGCACACAATGAGATGAAGTTACGTGAACCCCAAAATTAAAAAATGAAGTATTTCATCAGTGATGATCTGGTGCCGATAATGACATCATTCCCATTGCACAGGCAGACTGCACCCAACAAGATTTCTATTATATATAAGACATACTGTAAGTTGACTGTTCTCTTTTTCCCCTCTACAGGTTAATGTTTGTTTCTCAAGAGACATTCATATTCAGTAGAGATGTTATCACAGCTTAATGAAGCTGGTTATAAAAAGGCACTAGTTCACTTGCTAATTAGCCTTTAGCCAATGGTCCATTTCAGTTAATTAATTGACAGGTTCAAAGGATTTTGTAAACATTTTTCATTCTGGTTTGGTTTTTATGGTTTTTACTCAGGTATACATAAATATTCTCTCAGAAGATCTTCAGTCTCTCCTCTGCTCCAGTAATCTTGGTTGCCTTAGGTTCACCACATCCTGCTGACTCTCTAGGCATCACTGCTTTTGAAGGCTGCCTTGGGGGTTTCTCTTTTTCTGCTTTCATGCCTCCTCAATTTCTGGCCTTGAGCAATCTCATACCTTTTGTTGTTGCTGCTGCTGCCGCTAAAATTTCTTCATGGTTTTGTTAGTCTCCTTTTGAATCACTTCTTGCATCCTTTCCGACTCTTTCTTGGCTTATTTATCAATACATTTCAAGGTGCTGAGTCTGAGAAAGACTCTTTTCTTTTCTTCTCTCAACACACCTTTCAGTTCTGCTTCCTCAGTTTCAAGCAAAGAGCCAATAAACAAATGTAGCATTTCCCATTGCAACCAACCGCAACAGAGCACCTCTTGATTCCATCTTCGTGTCTATAACATTGGGCTGTCTCATCTCATAGCTGACTCCTTGTCTACAAAAAATTGAAAATCAAAAGCCTGAATCAGGCTGCAAACTTTTCAGAATATGTGCATGTAGAGGGGAACATCTTAACCATGACTTCCTCCAACCTAAGTTTTACCAGTCTTCTGTGCATGCAGGCTGATGCATCTGAACAGGAAGAACTCTACACACCTCTGTGTGTGATCATCTGTCAGGACTCTCTGACCTTCCACAAAGCCCCCACAGATAGTAGAGACACTCCCTCTTGAGACTCATCTGTCTCTACATGCAACAGAGTGGCAGAAATGGTGATGACGATCTGTGGACTTTGAATGTTTCCATCTATGTGTGGGTATTCTACACAGTTTATAATAGGAGTGTGCAAAGGGGTCAGCCCAAGTCTAAATTGGTAACTAAGGGTGTGATCAGATGGCTGGAAAGAGACATGCTTAATCAAACCAGCAAGGGTTGCTTTGCTGAGAGTGATCACTCTTAAAGCAACTCTTCCTTTTGCTTGGGAATCACTCCAGCTCAGATCCAAAGAGTAGTAGCCTTACAGCTGAACCAAAAAGATCCAGCCTTGGGCACAAACTAAGGTTGGGCTGGAGTACAATTCCTCATAATTGTGTGATCACCGACCAACAATAGATCACACCAGGCTGCTCCATAAGTGGTTCAAAATGCAATGTGTTTCTCCATGTGATCATACCCTCAACTGACCTGATTCAAACTGATTTGTATTAGGTGCAGAATTGAAATGGAGTGGCTAGATTCACTTCTGATGAAGCCAAGCAGATTAACCCAAATCTGAAGCTCAGATCAGAGGGAACACATGCCTTCAACCTTTTTCTGAAAAAGCAAACTTTCAACTAGGCATCTTGGAAAACTTTACTGATTTATGAACCTCTGGAGCAATCTGTCTACATTTGGCAGGCTTACGCTCCTCTTTCGGCTTTATTGTTTCTTCACATTTCATGTACATTAGTAGAAAAAAAAGTTAGTGTATTCTCAAAGGCTTTCAGAGCCGGGAACTGATGGTTGTTGTAGGTTTTTCGGGCTGTTTGGCCGTGTTCTGGAGGTTTTTCTTCCTATCATTTCACCAGTCTCTGTGGCCGGCATCCTCAGAGGACAGAAGTTAGAACTCATACAGACAGAGTTTCAGTTTTCCAGTGAAAGCTGAAGAGAATTTACAGTAGGATACACATTCAATCAGATGGGACATAAATTGCTTTAGACAAAATCAGGATACTTGAATAGGCTTCTAAACCCAACTGGGACCCCTGCATAAAGTTAGTTTATATTGCAACCTGCATAGGGTTGAATACAACACTGAATAGGGCTGCAGTTTAACTTGTAACTAGACATTTAACTCTTCCCTGGTTCAATGCACTTGTAAAATATGCAGTTATTTTGATGTCATAGTCAACCAGGACTTGCCAGCCATTGTTTCAAAACACAATGTACACATACATTGATCCCCCCCCCCTTCAGCTTTCTTTAGTATTTTTCTTTGGGGGGGGGAAGGTAGCTGAGAAGTGAGCAATTTTGAGCAAGCTTGGGAAAAAAGGGTTAAACAGCTTCCTCCTCCAGAATCTGAAGCAAACTGCAGCAGCTTTGTCTGATAAAAAAAATAACTTTGAGGAAGGAATCAGGGATCTACATGGAACACAATATCCCCTGTGTTGGATTCAGGCACAATGAATTAACTCTGTACTGTCCATTAAGAAAAACAAGTCTCTGAACTCCCCCCCCCTTCTAATGGATAAAGAGAAATCCTTTCAAAATCCTGGGTTAAGAGTCCCGCTCTGTATAGCTTTGTAAATAAATCCATTAAGTTACCTAGGTAGGTGAGCAACTTGAGTTCAGCAGTTGAGCTTTAACATACAGTTAAGAGAACAAAGGAAACCTCTTGTTCTATCCTGATTCAATTATAATTGTAATATGTTTTCCCCTGTTTTTTAGAGGGAAATATGCTGAGCCCAGCCCAGTGATGACAAAGGTATGTGGATGAGTAACATCATGAAAACAATGAAAGTTCATTTTATCTGAAGCTAAGTACACCTGAACCTGCTCTTATTATTTTACCTATTCCCTGAGAGAACAAGATAATGGGCAAGGTCAGACAAGCCACCATTTTTTTCATAGCTGTGTGGTAAAAGAATGCCAACAGGGTTAGCATGTCTTGTCTATTTCTGATACAGCAAAGGAGAGGCTACCTATCTTATTTCATTCTAGACCCAATGAATGGGTTCCAGTAGTTTCTTACCACATCCACTCTGGCCAGTCCATTTTCTTTAATAAATAAATAAGGATGCACCGTGGTTACTCCGTGGTAAGGAAATGACATTTGACTCATGTCTGCCAACATTGCTTTGCATCTCCTGGGACTCAGACATTGTTGAATACGGATCCTTGGAACAAGTTTGGGTGAAACCTTATACATATGAAGTTCTGGATGCTTGAGCTATTATACGCTGGCTTTCTGCACATCTTAAAGGCACAGAAACAAGGCAGTGATTTGGTAGGTCACGCTGCCTTGGCTAGATCACACTAGATCCTGCCTTGGCTCCTGGCTGTTTCTGTACTCAATTCAAAGTGTTTGCACTTTTATTTATTTATGGTCTGAGATCCCTTTTCTCCACGTTCGCTTATATGAGCACCAGGTTTGTAAGGTTCTCCTCTAGGCAACAGCATATGATGGTTAGTAGGGACTTCTTCATGATGGCACCCCAGTTTTGGACTGCTCTTTCACAAAGACTTGCCTGGTTCCTATCCGCTGTGCTTTTAATCCAATCAAGGGTACATTGCTGTATTTTATACCTTTTGTTGTCATTGTGTTAAATATTTTTCTTTGTTTTTTAATTGTATTTTAAAATTTGATTACGTAAGCTGTACCGAAAATTTACTGAAGGCAAGGTGCTATAAATATTTGCACTAAATTGATTTTTTTTAATTGCTGAATTTTTGCTAATTTAGCAGTATAAAAATGTTGGATTTCTTCCACAATGGTGTCTTTTTATTTATTTATTTATTTATTTATTTATTCATTCATTCATTCATTCATTTATTCATTCATTCATTCATTCATTCATTCATTCATTCATTCTGTATCCCGCTCCCATTAGTGTCACAGCACTACTCTGGGCGGGTTACAACTTGTAAAATAGAAAACAAAAACAAAAATAGAAGTATGAAAACCAATAGCAATAACCCTTAAAAAAACAGATGGCACCAAATAATCTCAGAGTGGATGGAGGAAAAGAGGGGAGCAAAGAAGAGGAGAGGAGGGAGGGAAAAAAGGTAGAAGAAGAAGAAAAAAGAAAAATCATGTACTGTTTTTCTACTCAATCAAATGAGACAGAATGACTAGCTATATAATGTGAAGTTCCCTGTGTAGCACTCAGTAACTATGATGGAGCAATTAGTGCACTTCCCCTCTCTTTTTTTCCCTTTCAAATATTGGATTACTCTAGAAAATTTAATGCCCGAGGGCAGGGTCTTCTCGCAGATTTATGCCATTTAAAGGTAAAATGGCAAAAGACCACTCCAAATTCCTACCAGGTAAAGTGAAATCTTTTTGCCATCTCTGAAAGTATTAGAGCCTCATACTGTGAGATAGAGTGTAGTTAAATGGCTTGTTAAAATCAACAGGTGAATATTAAACTATATTTTCATAGTTTAAAAAAAACTATTTTGACTTATAGTGTTTTATAGGCACATTCAGAATGGACCTGGGTTGAAAACTCTTCCACACAGTAGAATCTGGCAAAAGTCAAGAACAGTTTAAGTGCCATTGCCTTCAATAGGAGAAACATATTCCAATTATGCTTCTTGAAATCACTGGATATCACATGCTTAAATTTGGCTATCTCATGCTTGTAATTTCGCTAGTAAGGGCACCTCAGGGAACCATATTGTTAAAATTGTTTCTCATTGCCTTATAGCTCCCTGATCTGTCTTGAACAAAACATGATAGTCCTCAAAGGATAATGGCTTAAACTGTTTCAAGTTCTTACAAGTACCAGGAAGAGTAACTGATTGGTTTCTGGAACTAATTAGTATCTCCAGCACAATTAGTTAGCAAGTGAACCCCAAAACTATCAGCTTTGCAAGATCTTGCCCTCTCTCTATCTCTGCACAAAAGATGTAGTCAAGGCCCCTTGTAAGAAGAGGACCAAGAATATAACTTCAAAAGTTGCTAAAATGTTATATAAGTGCAATGCAGTGAATATAAATTGAATTGTGAACTGGTCATGTGAAAGGCAGTCACATGAGAATAACTAAATTATCACACAAGAGTTTCACTAAGAGTTGTTGTGGGTTTTTCGGGCTCTTTGGCTGTGTTCTGAAGGTTGTTCTTCCTGACGTTTCACCAGTCACTGTGGCCAGCATCTTCAGAGGACTGGAGTAGGAACTCTGTCTGGACATAGAGAATGGCGAAAAATCAGGAAGAACAACCTTCAGAACACAGCCAAAGAGCCCAAAAATCCAACAACCATTAGATCCCGGCTGTGAAAGCCTTTGCGAATACAGTTTCACTAAGAGGTGAGTTCTCAGTGTGTCTGCTCAGTTGAGACTATGTCCATGTGCCAATTTAGAAATATAAAGGAAGTAAATTAAACCAGATAAGGGCCTTGACAAGGGCTGGGCATTCTGCACAACTCCAGGGCTGAACATGCCCCTAACTCCATCTTGAAGTGCCACCCTTAAAACCACAATTCCCCAATTGATTTTCCTACAAAAAATTTGTTTTTTCACTGAAAATCTCCCTTGCATTCTCTAGAGTAGTGGACCCCAGTGTTCTGGGACTAAAACTCCCAGTAATCACAGCTAGTGGTGAAGGCTTCTGGAAGTTTTAATCCAAGAACATCTGGGAACCCAAGGTTGAGAATTACTGGTCTAGAGGCCAAGCATTAAAAAATGGAGGGTGTGGGATTGGGGAACCTCATTATATTCTAAAGCCTCTTTGGGGGTGTTATGGGGCCACAAGGCCCCTGAAAGCTGTATACAACTTGCAGGGCACTCCTGTTGTATACCTAGGAAGACTTTGGCATGTCTTCTACAACTTCCAGGCAGGACAATCCAAGTGATGAGTAATATTTAACCTTCACTTGATGGTTTGCAACTCCTGTCACCCCTTACTACTGGTTGTAGTGGCTAAGGCTGACAGAAATTTTATCTCAACAACATCTGGAAGGCCACAGATTCCCGCCATTGCTATTCACCAGGGCATGGGAGAACCAGGGTGTAAGCGGACAGAGAAATAGCTTGCATTTTGGACCCCTTGTGACACAGTCCAGTACAAACTATTTCTTGGCATTCACATAATATCTGTGAGACTGATAACCAGCCCTATCCTGATCTATGCCAAAGCTGGATGTTTTTGGTCTATCAATAGGGCTACTAATTTTGGGGTCGGGGCTGGAGTGATTCCTCCATGGACAGAAGGGGTGCCTTCAAGGAGGTTACTCCCAACCAATCTAGTCTTTCTAGTATGGTCAGACATGATTCTTCCTCATCATCTGCTCACACCCTTGTTGGGATGGAGATTTCTTGTGCAAGGTCTAGAACCAGTGTAGATTTCTGCTATTGAGAAGAACAATGAACTGCAGCTGTGAACTGAAAGGTCACAGAATAGCCTTCCAGTGTGCTTCTCCTCAACATTGCCTGTGGCTTATTTGTGACTCATTCCCTTTAGTTATTCTGCCAGTTTATTAAGGATGATCTGTCTGCAATTCCTCCTCCTGCTCCTTTTTTTTTCTTTGTGGCATTCGGCTGTCCTTTGTGCTGTCCAGAGAGTAAGGCTTTAACCAAATCTTAAAGCCTTTCTGTTGGGATAGTGTGAGCATAGGATTGCCCTGAACTTCAATAGTTTCCAGTCCTGTTTTCTTTGTCTATTTTCACCTTTGTTTTGCTTCATAAACCTGGCACATTTTCTCAGTAAATGACTGTCAATTGCACTCATCCTTGAGGCATTTGCTAAAATCACTTTTGAAGCCTTGCTCTGTCCGCAAAGACTTCATAAAATAACGTTTCTCTTTGTTGCTCTTTGCTTATTTGCTATGACAGTGCAGCCTTCATTATCTCTGCACCCTAGAGTCTACACATCCAAATGCCCCCCACCTTTTTGTTGTTCTGAAGTTTCAATGTACAAGAATGAAGCTCATATTTGCCTGCATTAGCAAAAGACCACCGCGTGGAATATAGTGAATTCAGATAATAAACATGAATAACTGGGGATTAGATAATAGGTTTCTGTTGTATTGTGTTTCTTCACACTGTTAGACTTCCAATATATGAATATGCTTTTTTTAAATTCACGAATACTGCCACCTGTTTAAGTGTGAGATATATCTAAAGGATATGTGAACGAGGATGATGAGGATGAGGATGCGGAGATGTTGTCTATGATGACTTATTTCTGTGCCTGATTTTTGTACATGCATGCTTTCCTTGATACAGGATGCATCTATGTGGAATCAAGACAACTCCTATGAAACCATCTTCCTTAGATACGCTAATCAGGTATGCTGAATGAAAAGCATTTGTGTGCATCAGCACAGCCTGTGAAACTGGGAAATTAAAATTTCTGATCAAGTTCTTAATCCAGGCTTCAGAAATGCAAATCTCAAGTGTACATCTCAAAAACTCTATTGATTTCTCAGCTACTCTTAACAAATAGAGTACGAAATGCAGCCAGAATATAATAGAGCCCACAGGACTGTTTTCTTGTGAGGAGAAAGGTGTTCTTTAAACAAGCAATTAGAAGTAACCCTTGACTACACAGTTATGCATGTATGTATATCATATCCTACTCTGATCAAAATTACTTCCTGCTTGCACTTGCTGGGTTGGAAAGTAGACATCGGTAAATGTTTGGGTAATTGATTCCCATTCTTTCTGAGCCGAGCTTCATGTGTTCGTAGGAGATGCTCTTAATGGCTTAATAAACTGTTACAAAGGACTCGACTTAGTCAAGAGAAAAATTGCTGCCAAAAGCCTCTGCACAATAGACCTCTCACTGCTAATAGTTATATCAATGCATAAAAGGTGAAAATGACGCTGCCTACTGCGAATAATGCACAAGGTTTGTTTCTGGGAGCATGAAGGGCAAGGCAGGAAGATCTGACATGGCTCATAAGTCTGGCAACTCCAAACTGTAGGGGCAGAGTGCCAGATCCTGAGCTTTTTTACACCACGGTTTTATGGCACTGCAGCAAAGTCACAACACAGCTGCTGCCACTCCAGGTTATTCTATCTGTGCATGCCAGAAGACTAGGGCAGAAAGTCTCATCATCTTGTTCTTAACAGCATCTGGGAAGCTGCTGCCGGATATGCAGAAAGGAAAAATAAAGTCGATTTCAAGTTGCTTTTGCTGATGTGGCTCAGTGGGTTGGTGTGCCTGGGTATGGAGTCAGAGGATGGGAGTTCAAATGCCTGCTGTACCCCCTGGACCACTAAGCATGCATGTCAACATTTAGCACTTTTCAGACATTCACTGTAAATGAGATCTCAAGCATACATCTCAAAAACTTTTCACTGACCTCCCATCTCCTCTAACAAACAGAGAAAGCAACTGAGCATGAATGCAAGAGAGTAAGGAGAGTTCTTGTGAACACACCCTGAAAGAGAAGGCAAGGTTCTACAGAATATCCCCACTACTGTGACCATGACCAACAACCACAACTCTCACTGGTGAACATTTAACCAGAAAGGGATCATGTTCCAGCACATGATGTAGGGCCTGCTTTCATGCTGAACTCCTCTACCTCTAAAATATAAAGAGTTCAAATAGGGCACTTCATTCCCCAGCCCAATTTTCAATTTTAATTTTCCAGATGCCATTCAATATTACATACCTGCTCAGTCCTCATGGAGCTACCTTGAGATTCTTGTCTTCTCCTAGCTCCAAAACCCATGTATGTACTTCTGCAAGCTTTAGAATTACCCCAAGCACATTGACACGTCCCTCCTGTTTCTCAGTGCCCCCTCAGGATTCAGTTTCTTTCAACCTTCCCCACCCTAGCATACTTCTAAAACACTTGTGTGAACAGAATGTGGTCCCTCTACTGATTATTTTAAAAATAATTTACCCACAAATTTAGCCCCTTACGCTATCTAGGGTCAGTACTTTTGCCACATCTTCAGGCATTTTTTAAAACATTTTTGAAAAACTTAGCAAACCAGTGAAACTGCAGTAACTGTAATTTGGCTTCTTTCAAAGGCACTAGAGAGTAACTGAATTTGAGTTTCATTAAACTATACTTTTATATGTACATTTCTTTTCTAGTTCATTAATATAACAAGACAGGGTCTTATACTAATTTTTGCTCCAAAAACGCATTAGGGCTCATTTTCAGGGGATGTTTTATTTCACAGTCATGTCATCTTCTGGTTGCTGTACAATGGTGGGGCTTATTTTGGGGGTAGGGCTTGTATTGCGAGCATCCTGAAAAACCATACTAGGGCTTATTTTCAGGTTAGGTCTTATTTTCAGGGAAACAGGGTACATCTGTATGATACAATAGTCAACATTATCTGCATTGTCTCCTCACAATCTGTTTCAACTCTGGAATATATTCCAGCTCCTCATCCTTTTAAATATAGTTGGTATATAATTAAATTGTTACCTGCTTATTCTACTTAATAAAGAAATAATGAAGATGAGTTATTCATCTACCTGTATCTCCTGACCACATGACTGCCCCTGCCATGTGTGCTGCTGTGAGTAGCAAGAAGGTTACTCACACTCTATAAAAATGCAAATGGTGAAGATTCACTTAATGACCACAACCTCCCACGAATATCCTTAGCCTCAATGGTGAAATCTAGGGATGTCTGATGCATATGAAATGAAGCAATTCAAATAAACAGTGTGCATGTTCATTGTTGTGGATTATTTCTATACACTGAACAATCAAGAGTAATTTAGTAATTAAACACATTTAATTAAGGCAGTAATTTTAAGCAGAGGAAAATGGTCCCTAAGCTTTCAAGTGTAGTAGCTTTCAAGAATCATGCAAAATGATTGCCACCTAGTGGTCTCTAACTGTCATTAGTGGATTGTCATTAGAAGATTTCTAAGGTCTTTACAGCACTAGTGGGAAGCAGCACCAAGCAATGTTCCCTCTAAGCTGCATGCATGCACACTTGCCCAGAGGTTCATCAGGGTTGCACATGGGCAAGCAGCAGCTGGCTTGTTTAATTCTCCTTTTTGAATGATGCCCTGTCCACCCCACACATACACACACACACACAGCTTAAAGGCTCCCACACAGTGGGACAGAAACTTAGGTGGAACGTTGCTTGCAAGCCAAAAAGCCCTGAATGAACTAATGGAAATAGAAATTATTTACATAGACAGGGAGGTGAGAGCTAATGTAAGCCATGCCAATGCAAGAAATAAGCAGAGCACAATTTACTTGGAATAATTTCCTGTATGAGACATATCAATAAATGGAAGATGAGTTCAAATGCCACAGAGCAGACAGACATTCATTTCAGTAGACCCATCAACAAGACAGGTCTCCAATGGATCATAGTATTTTAAGCACTTCTCTTATGTTTTCTGTTAGAGCTCCCAGCTGAATGCCTTCCAACTGCAAAGGATCCTGAATGAAGTAGTCCTGAAAGGTAACGTTGGTTATTCAGGACCAACACCTATCCTGATAAGTTACTTAATAATAACAAGATTTTGTATTGTGCAAGAGAAATGATAGCTGACTTATGTAAATGTAATTTAATGTAAACAGTCGAGGGCTCCAGTTTGAAGTAATAAACCAGACCTCGGGGAATATATATGCTTACTGGGCACTATAAATATGAAAAATTCTGTATATTTTTGCATTTTGCACCTCCACTACTCATGCTAGGTATGGATTTTGGGAGTGATAGTCCGAAGACAGGATTTTTAAAAGCTCTGCACTGAATGCTCCCATATCTGTCATGTTCTTCTCTGCAATTCCTTCTCTGAGGTGCTCTTTTCTCAGCTGGTCTGGCTTCCAATCTAGGATCCCAGCTAAAAAGAAGTGGTTCTTGGCAGACAAACTGTACATTTCCATGCATGGATGCAAGTGCTGATATTTTAACATGACCAGCACTGTGTTTAAATTGCTTAAGCATGTTTTGTTTTTTTGTTTTTAAAGCAGCTGAACTGGGAATTGGAGCTATTCTGTGGAACTACGGGGAAGTTCCCATGAAAATATTTTTTTCCTAATGAGGGCTTTTTGAAGGGGGGCACATATGCCCACAGATACAGTTTCCTTCAACAGCTAGCAGAGTAAAAGACTAATAATTTCAATTAAGATTCTTCAGAAACAGAAAGTAAGAACACTAAACTATTTTCAGGCATTATACTATACTAATTGGATCTGTCTCATTTCAGCCATTTCTCATGGAGCTTCATGCTTGTGTATGGATTCAAAATACTTATCCCAAGCACATATTAATCCCCACATCTTTCAAAAATGTGCACTGTGTTTTTCCCCCCTTATTCTTCCATTGGGTACTTGGTAAAATATGAAGCATGATGCAACTACGGTAGCATTAGAAACTCAGTGACCTCATAGGTGCCTTCCAACCATTACAGCTAATTTATCCATATGAATATTAATTTAGAAATCACTTTGTTATCTTCATTATTTTCAATACAATAAAAAGAATGAATTTATTGTGTTACTCAATAATATGGGAGTAATGTGTTACTTTAAATTGTAGGAAACCAATTAATAATAATAACAATGGCTCAAAGATGCCCCCCAATTATCTCCAAAAGTAAAGAATTTAAATAACATAAATTGTTAATAATAATTGAATCCATTAAGACTGGTTTTCGCTTAACCATTAAAATAATGATTTTTAACGTCCGCTTTAAATATTTTTAACATATTCATGGCAAGGGGTTAATTTTGAAAAATTATTCCCAAACTCTGAAAAGAGCGAAAAGCTATTGTACTCTAAAATCCCCTGTTGAACAAGAAACCGTTTCACCACTCTATCCTGCTAACCTCCTTATTCTTTGTGCATGTTGCTTTCTGATTTATCCATTTATAGATCTAATGGCCAGTCTGGGGAACAGAGATGGATTCAGCTTCGATTCAAGCAAGAGCCTTTTAGCTCTGATGGATGTATCTTTTCAGCAAATGCAATAAACCTTCCTTATGCCGCCCTGCCTTGCTTTGAGTTATGACTGTGCTGAGCTTCCCATTGCAGGAGCCTTGTGAGTAAATATTTGCCAAAAGATCAGCCCTCAACTTAGGCAGGGAATCTATAAATTACCATATTCTTTCCCTCTAAGGGCCTTTCTTTCTGTTAGATATCAAGTGAAAGGGGAAGAGGATAACAATAATTCCTTTATTGCAGACCTCTTGCTCCCAGAGCCTACCTACCATGCACATGATGCTTCTTTCAACACTTCCATCCAATAACCTCTCCAAAGGTAGGCTTAGAAAAAGGGTCGACCTTCATAAAAAGCTGAGCTCACAATCAGAAGCTGCTTAGCGAGTGGATTTCCAAAGAATGGCATGCCTAGCCATCAGGGCTGCAAATGAGGCACTGAGTGTCCAGTCATCCAATAGAACAAGCTAATTTGGAAATTAGGTGAGGTGAGAAAAACGAATGCTAGGCCTCCAAATCTCCTTTATCACCTCAAGATATACCATGTCCCCTTGCAGAGATTACCCATGTTTTATCTATGTCGGGCAAAAACAAAACAAAATTTAAAAAGTTAAAAAGACAAAATACATTGTGCCACCTTGAAAACTAACTGCTATATTTTAATGTGAGCTCTTGTGGACAAGTCCACTAATTCATACCACTTCTTGGACAGTCCCCTTCTTGTTTTATCTCATTTGACCATAAGTTGAACAGGTAGGCTGCCTTTACTCAGCCTAATATATATTTTTAGAAACACTTTTCAGAGATTTTGGGGTTTTTTTCATGGGATCTGGGGTGAGAACCTTGGCCATCTCACAAGCTATTTCCATGCTTCTTCTAACTAGACTAGTGGTTTCCGAAACATGGGTCTCCAGATGTTCTTAGACTACAACTCTTGGAAATCTTGGCCAGCATGGCTAGGCTTATGGCACTTTTTGGTCCAAGAACATCTGGGGACCCAAAGCTGGGAACCAGTATCTAGACACTGTGAACAAGGCTTCACTAACAATACAGAGTTGTTAGTAGATGTTGAAGTGATTTACAAAATCAACCCTAACATTGCCGATTAATGAATAAATTATGACTGATAGCCCTTCCATTTTCTTGCAGATTTTTGTCTCCCCTTTCTAAGGAAAAAACCCTTTCACTAAAAATGCCTTGATACCTTCAGGGAAGCATTATCTATGTATGTGCAGAAGAGAACTGATGCAGTCACAATTCATCCAAGGATTCTGGTTTTATTCCAAAGATCTTTCTTTCATCCAAAAAAGCCCTCCGAGGAAAACAGCTGTGTGGTCCTTGTGCAAAATCCAAAAACAAGTGTTAGCGATGACTTCATTAGATCATGAAAATCACAAGAACAATCTAGCCTTCAGGTCTTGCAGTATTGTTCAACTGGCCTCAACATGAGGCTAAGATTATTTGCAGGGAGAGGCGGGCTTTTCTGTTTTCCTTTCACCTCAAGATCTCCAATACAGAATGTGATTGCAGGGGTCAAAAGGTAGACTGAGATTTTAGTGGTTTGATAAAGATGGGTTTCACTCATGCAGTTATCTTTCAACCTGTGTCATAGTTTACAAAATCTGGTGTCTACGCTAATCTGCATTCACTTGCATGCCTCATTTCCTTCTTCTGTATTCCTGCACTGAGCAGTGGGTTGGACTTGATGGTCATTTAGCCCACTTCCAACTTCATGAATCTATGATTCTATATCTTCTTCCCCTACTGGAGTTTGGATGTCATTGTGGCTATACTGAATGTGAAAGAGGCAGCTTTAAACAATGATGATGTGTTATATACAAACAAGTGTATGCATGCACCAGGCCTAGGGTGTGGTGATGACTACTCACAAAATTCCTCATTCTTGGTGTTTTCTTGACTCTTGGTGACCCCTCCTGTACTCCATTTCTCTCTGAGAGAGAGAAACCAGGCCTGTATCTGTTAACTAAGAATGAAAGTTTTGTTAACTAAGAGTTAAGAACCACGTGCCTCATGTAATTTGTTTTTGTCCTCTCTGGCAAAGACAGGTTAAAAAGTTCACTTGTAAGAAACAGGGGCTGCCATTGAGGTGCGATCAAGAGTACAAGATAATACCAACCATTATCGATAGTCATCATGAGGTGGTGATGAAAGTGAGCAGGCTGACAATATCCTTTCAAGCATGTGAGTGCTGGTTGGCTTACTCAGTACGTACAGTTGTGAGGTGCTCACAACTGTACTGAGTAAGCCTTTGTACTGTACTAGCTATCAGTGGTCCCCAGCCATTCCTATTTTTCACCAAACTACATGTTCTTCTAATAACAGGTTCAGACATAGGTCAGCCATTTTTACACTGATATGGGTCAAGGGAGAACTGCGGTTCACATTTTCCAGTGCTCACCCATGTTGGAGATTTGTCAACATGTATCACACCATCTCAGGTAGGAGATATTATTTTTATTAGTTATATTTCTTCCTCCTCCTTTTTCTCTTCCCCACAGCTTGACCTCCCTCTCCCATGTTTGTTTTTCTCCAACATAACTCCCCCTAACCCCACAGTCTTTCATGACTTCAGAACTGCTGGATAGCTCCACAGTTTAGGTATTTGATTGTGTGAAGCCAGACGTTAGAAGTTCAGATTCCCCACTGTGCTTCCTGAAAAGGGCTGGATTCTACGATCCAGCTCTGCAGTTCTAAGATTGTTGTTGGTTTTGTTGTTATTATTGGAGGCATCATGAAGAATCCATTGGCTCATGGGAGAGATTTGCCACCACCACACTTTTTTTTTTAAAAACAAGCCTCAACAACCTTCAAATAGAAAGCATACTAAGGAGAATGTGGTTAAATGTTTCCTCTCATATACCACTTTTATATGTACAGGAAGGTTTTTGTGTGTTCTTTCTGTCTGTCTGTCTTTCCTTCTTTGGCATGGAGATCAACGCAAGCATGCAACCACTCTCCCAATCTGATGTGGTACAGTCCACACCAGAATACCGTATTCAGCTCAGGTCACACAACAGATAAGGAGGAAACTCAAGTGACATTGAAATGTAGTGCCATTTCCCCCATGAGCAACAAAACATCTAAAAGATAATGCATTTGAGAACTGCCAGTTCAAAACTGACTTAAAACTTAACCACATATACAGACCAATGCTAATGGAAGCCTTACACTGGATGAGTTTGGAAGACTTTGGAGAGATCTCAACAGGTATAAGGTATGGATGAGAGTTATAAACCCAAACTCTGTTGTTGTTGCTACTGCTGCTGTTGTCAGAGCTTGGAAAATTACTTAAAAATAGTTACTTTTATAGTTCATATGTCCTCCAAAAGATGTTAAGTTGCCATTATTCTAATACTGATAACTTTAAAAAAGTAACTTCCTTCTCAATATTCAAAAGAACTTAAGTAATTACTTTTATAGGGGTTTTTCTAAATAACATCAGGATGCTCCAAGCCACTGACTTGTGTTACAAAGCACACTTAAGGAGTGAGGCCAACCCGGCCTCTTCCACTTATACAAGAAACTAGAAAACAAGTAAACATTACAATCACAGAACAAAAGAAAAAACACAGCTTGTTGCCTTGCAATCCCAATGCAACTTAGCTATGCCTTAGTCACTGCAAAAAGCTATTTCTTTTGTTTTAAAATGATACCTTAAATTTGTATCTTTCCCAGGACATCTTTAGACAAGAAAATGAAAGAAACTCTGGATTCCTCGATGTCTCTGATTTGAAAAGAGTAATAGAGGGGACAGGTACAGTGATAAACTCTCAACAGATTTTTAGTTAAGGCTAGTTTAACTTCAAAATTTGATTAAGTACATTTTTGAGGGAAAAATTCTAAAGCAGACATTTCACAGAAATACCAGCAGTGGCACCCTAGTCATGAGTCAGGGAAGGATGGGGGTTGGAGAACTATCAAAGTCTTAGAAATAAATCAAAACTTTGCAGAAGAATAACAAAGGCTGATTCCATGCAACTGGGCATGTGGAAACCCATTGAACTGTTTTTCTCTTCCTACATGGAAGTCAAGATCCAAATCCTTTGAGCTCACACTGCCATCTGCTGAACCGTGTTGGAATTGCAACCAATTCTCCCCCTCCATCCCAGCCCCAGATTTTTTAGTTGTTCCAACAGAATCCTTTTGCAATTGCATTTTTGCCTACAATTCATCATACATAATAAAGGACGCTGCTAGCCAATAATGCTGTCTGTCAGGTGAGCTTTTAGATGTCAAGATGGCTGTTTAAGACACATTTCCTACTTAGATATTAATTTTCCTCTTCCCTGTGGGGAAGTAAAAAAGAAGGTGTAATCAAGTGACAGCCAAAAGACTTTTTGAGATTCTTCAGCCAGGAAAGGAAGGAGAGGGTGGAAACTTCAGGGCCTCCGGAGACTTATATGATGGAGGCGGAGGAGAGGAGGTGATGGGGAGACAGAGGAGAGATATTTGAATGCTACTATCTGGAATTTATCAGTAATGCATTGCATAAAGGATGATGCCAGGAAGGCATTGTGATAATCAGGGCAATAAAATATAGCATAGAAAGAGAAATTGTGTGCAGTGAAGTCTTTAAAAGCAAACAAGAAATAGTACTGGGAATGAACTGAAGAAAAGTGTTTGTGACAACGCTGGCTGTAAATGTGGCAAAGTCAGCTTCTTCTCACAGAAGAGCAGAATTAAAAAGGAAATGTAAACTTCCTTAAATTTCCTTCCTCTCCTGCACTTTACAACATTCAATAAATTCTAGACTTCTTTGCAGTGCACCTAATCCCATTCTGACAGAAACGTTGCATCTAACGATTGATGTCTGAGTCCAAATGCATTCCTCTCTCTCTGGTGATCAGGATTATATCGTTCATGGTCCCTTTCTCCAGCTCCCAATGTGGTTTTTTTTGAAATAACAAACTGCCTGATGTCACCACAACTGGTACAGAGGTTGCACTGTTGGGTTTGGTTAGTACTTAAAGAGTCCACCAATGTGTATGATGGGGTCTCCAGAAAGGGCTAGGAAAGAATTCTGCCTCATACCCTGGAGAAACTCTGGAGAACTGCTGCCAGTTATTTTTGACAGACTAGACTAGAAAGATGGGCCACTGATCTGACAAGGTTGGCAAACAGGGAAAAGGCAGGGAGAGGAAAGAAGAACGTTTGCCATATTGCAGTTCTGCAAATTCAGATTAGATAGTTTGAATTTCACTCTGCACAAATTTGCATGATATGGTCATAAATGCAGATCTTCGCCTATTAGGAACGTTAAATAGAAAGAAAGCTTTGCATTTCTCAAGAGTATTAAACAACGGAGGCAAAGCACAGAGGAGGAGGCTGGAGGGGGTTTATTTGTTTGTTTTCTTTTCCTTTAACATCATTAAGTCTGATCTTCTTTCCTTTTAAGGGGAAAGGGGTGGGGAAATCATCTCTCCTCCTCCTCCTGTGTGCTTTGCTTAAGCTGCTTAATATTCTTGAGAAATGGGATGCTTTCTTTAAGGGAAGGAAGACAAACTAAAAACAAACAACCCTCTTCTCCTTATCCATGTTTTGCCTGGTTGTGCTAAATGGGATCACTCAAGGTGCAGTATGGTTGATCCCTGCATCCGGGCACAAGGATTGCCACAAATTACATGCTGCATCTCAAAGCAACACTGTTTAGCACAATCTAGACCAGAAGTTCTCATCCTTGGATCTCCAGACATTCTTGGTCTGCAACTCCAAGAAGCCTTTATCACTAGCTCTGCTGACAAAGGCTTCTCGGAGTTGCAGTCCAAAAATGTTCAGGCACCCAAGACTGGGAACACTGATCCAGACCAATCTAAGTCCAGGTAATTTGGCTATCTAGTCACACCCTAAGTGATTTGTTCAGAAACACTATTAGAAGCTAAAATTCCACTAACTTTCAGTTCACATTTTCCAAACTGAAATCTCTCTGTTGCTTGAGATTTGTACAAAACAACAGATGTGTTTCATTGTCGAGCTTGGCAACTGGGATAGTCAGTTAATACTACAGTCTTACGCTGGGAGTAAACTTCACTGAAATGGCTTAAAACTCAATAATATTGCACTGTAAAACTGTGTGACTCTTCTCCATATAAACGAGGATATTCTCAGTTTCTTTGATATTTGTGCAGGCGTTTTTATATTAGCCTGACATGAATATTCGGTGTGGCAGACAACACCTGTACAGGTAGTATGCATTATTCGACTGTGCCCATTTGATATTGTGATTGTATCATTAGTCTTTTCCTGCTGCTGTTTATAGGGCTGTTGGTGGATCACAAGCTCCTCAGATTGATGATTGTGAGATATGGTGATCCTTCCATGAGGCTATACTTTCCTGATTTTGCATGCTGTATGATTCGTCTTGAGACCATGGCAAGTAAGTCACACATTTGCAGAATTAAAAAAAAAACACACACAAAATGAAACAAGATTATAAGGTGATCATGCAGCTAAGAACGAATTAATATGTTTCCATTTCTACAGCTTCCAAATTTTTTGAAATAAAAGCCCTTTCCCCCCCACTGAATCAGTTTTCTTTTGAGGACAAAGGGTAAAAAAGTAAATAACACCCTTGATTATGTAAGTAGCTAGAGTGGAAAAGGGAGAGAGTCCCTCAATTACACTTCTTACTAGG